ACTCTAATAAATGACTCTAAACAGGTTAAAAGTCATCGGTGGATTACTCCCATCCCCTTCAATATATGTTAACAAGCAGGAAACGCTTTGACTAGCAACCTTGGATGGGTTAAAGGTTATTGGTGGACTTTCGTTAGCTTTCTCCATATAGGTTAACATCATTGAAGAATGCTCTAATGCACAACCCGAGATATATCAAAAGTCGTTGGCATTTTTTTTCGCGTCTGCCTTCTGATCGATCAGAAATCCTGAGTAGGATTTTACACCCTTGATAACATTAAAGAACCTGAACAAAGCTGATTTAATTCATTGTTGTCATAATAATTCTTAACATCATATGAATGCTCAAACAAAAAGAAACACAGAGTGGGGCATATAGCCAATAAATTGAAATCATTCAATAACTTATCCAACGACTACATCGATCTTGTTTATGCAAGAAAACATAGATAAATATGCTTAAAAAGAAGAAAAAAATAAGAGTAAAGAAAAGTTAGAATGCTAATTGATATCAATGTTTTTCTTATCGTCGCCACTGGAGAGTAGCTTTTTCAACTCACTCTCGATACCATTATCTTCAAAATTTGAATGAGGATCATCTGAAGACTGGTTCGGGGTAAGTCTCTTTACGTTAAGCCCGATCTGAAGGTATAATGCTCGAGTCCCCTTTAAAGAAGCTCCAGATGAATCCCTCCTCTACACGCCTCTTTTGCAGCTCTTTTACCTCAACATCATATATATGGTCACGAGACACTTATACGTAATTCTAAATGTTGCTTCTGAACTCAATTAAGCTTATAAAATTCTCTACATCTCTCAACTCGACTCCAACAATATAAGTCTTCTAATCGGACCTCAATTTTTGGTTCTTCTCCTAAAGCGTTGACATCTTAGATCTTAGGCCCTTCAAACTCTTGTTGCTCTAATTGAGGTTGGTCCGTGCCTCCACCAACTCCTCATAAGTACTCTTCAAATCTGAAGTTGCAATGAGAGGGAAGTCACTATCATGGACTACTCTTTCCCAAACCCTTTCAACTAAGATTCAAAGGCCGCAACTTCCTCGATTTTAGGCTCATGTCGTTGTTTGTATTCGCCCAAAAGGAACTTGATATTGACAAATTCATATCTTCACTCGTTGAAACCCCACTCCATGATCTATCTTTTTAGACATCTGAAATAAATAAGTTTATGTCAAGTGGATAAAAGGAATATGAAACAACAAAATTTGACAAATGTAAAAAAACTTGGATACTCTCTTGTTGCTAGAATATACTGCACAAATGAGTCAAAGCGCTCACCGGAATACAAATTTTTGAAAGAGTAGTTAGAAGGTTCTTAGCTTCTTCACTCCTCTAACTTTGTTTTTCGGGAAGGATCTCATAGTCACTATCTGAGAATGGCTGCTTTGAAGGTGCCGCATGAGCAAGTTCGAGGCGCTTCTTCTCAGATTTCCTTAACTTCATTACAAAAGATCACCTAGGATGGATAATTCTTCACTCACCAAGTTATTAATATACTGTACTTCAAATTGTAGACCTTTGTGATTCTGAAATTTAAGCATCTACGACATTTCATCTTTACTAATCTGAAGAGAGATAGACAGTTGTTGTGTTTTCTCACATTTCTTGTGAAATCTCCAATCATTTTGTGCAAAGAAAAATCATATAGACCAGTGTCTTATAGGCTCTTTTGTTTGAAGATCCAATACATTGCTTCTGAAGGATACATGACCATATGTATCGCTAACAAACTCGCCGTTCGAGCTAAGATCTCAGGCATCAACTTCAACTAGCATTTTCTAAGAAAATATCAACCTGATGAAGATTGTCATTGCCCGATAAGAGATTTGATCTTTGAAATGCTAGCTCCGACAATTTTTGAATGTTCATCAACTCGATTGTCATTAGATTCGGCAGGCCAACCCACAAAGTTGCATCTTAAACGACAATGTATCCTGGAGGAGGAGAGTAGGCTTGATCAGTTGGACTTGGTAATTTTGACACCTTGTTAATCAAATCATATATGGGCATCATCTGTAAGAGTTGATATCGCCTCCGTACTTCTAATTTTTAGGGGATGAGATTCCACGATCATCGACATCTTGAAGCACAAAAAATCTCCAATAGAGAGCACGTCAACAACAAAAAAAAAAAATGCTCCGAGCGCAGCACAACTACAACACAAAAGTGGCACAACATTTGGCCAAGGGAACTTCGGGGATTACACTGCTCAAACTCATGGGGGCCAACTTCGGGGATTAACAACAGGAAGCCAAGAGACTTTAGGCATTTCAGGAAGTTGGTGGGTCATTTCCCCTCTTTTAGACCCATTTATAGGATAAAAGACCAAGAAACAGTCAAAAGAATAGCACAAGTTTGTACCCGTCCAAGACAACCTACACTCGTCTGATTTCGCGCAATCGAAAGGCAGAACCATGTGATCAATGTGAATTCTCACACTCGTGCAGTTTCAGATCGTGTTATGCAAACAATTCCATGGAACGTGATCCTGCATCCAGGATCGTGGGCCCGAAAGACCGCGCCATCAGATTGCCCCAACTCGGCCCAAAGCCAGCCCTACCGCGCCGACTTGCGACCTGCGTCGCCCACTCAACTTGCCTGACCGGCCAACTTATGATTCTCCCTGCTAGTCACGATGGTGTTGCTGGATGCCACGTCGATGCCGCCCCCAATGTTGCCGCCGGCTTCCACCATCAAATGCCATCACTGCAACTGCAAAAAAAAAAAAAAAAAAAAAAAAAAAAAAAAAAAAAAAAAAAAAATCATTATTCTTGATAATTTTCTGATGATGCTGGTGAAATCACCCAATAACTGGGGGCAACTGATGTGTCATTAAAAAAATTATCATTTTAGACATCCCGAGGCATTTGGCACGAATCTCAAGACATTTTAGAGCTTAAAAAGTTTTTATCTAAATTAAAAATTAACAAGAACTCTAATTTCAATAAAATAATAATCAAACTAACCAGCTCGATGAGACAAACCTAATGACACCAAAATATATCTCATTTGAGTAAAGTCAAGCACAGATCAAATCATTAAACCAATTTTGAAAGTTTTGTGTGTTTAATTGGAGCGTCAAATGGATTCCAAATTTGACAACCTTATAGTCAATTTGAGTGTCTCAATGAGATAAATCTAATGAGCGTAATATCACTCAATTTTGACATCTTCATATAATATCATCTGATTAAAGAATCACTCTAAGTTGTCTGATAGAGTGGTCCTTCTTTATGCATTATTTATGAAGAATGCAACTCCCAAAATATTTGAATAGAGCTCGACTCCCTTCATGTAGGGGCGAAAGCTAGACTTGGACTTGGAGTAAGGGGGAAGAGAAGAAGCAATTTCCAGAGCTAAGCTGTTGACCATCGTAAACCATTGTGTTGGCCACTGTCGACCGTTGTTGCCTGTCCCCTTTTTTTTGCAAAGTAACGACGTACGTTGCAACAAAGCATATTGTTGAGTAATAACACATGTTACGAAGCAATAAAGTACTATACGAAATAACACAACAACTGTACCCCAAACACGTACTCCACATCTCCACCTATAAATTTCAGTGGCATCCACTTTTGACTATTGCTTATCAAACCCTTCTGCTTATAAACATCATACCTTGAGAAACTACGCATCTCTTTTTGGTCGTTGGACAAGAGTTCGTACCTGTACCTGTACCTGTAATTAGACCCCGGGGTTAAAAATTTTAGATGTCTGCACCTTTTATTTTATCATCTCGGTACCTGTACGTATAAGTTTAGATATTAAATTAAAAGAAGAAGGCTCAATGCACGTCTTGCCAACTTAAATGCATGATGTCATATGCCGTGCCGATGAATCCTATCTTAAATGACAAATGCTTGTATAAAATTAATATTATTAAAAAAAAAGTCATAGAACCATTATGCAAATATATATATATATATATATATATTTTTTTA